CCCATCACCCCTTCCCCTACCCTTGCACACCACCCAACCCCTCCTCCATATGAACCATGCCACCATGACCCCCACCTTATTCTCCTTTTTCTTCTTCTTCTTCTTCAAACCTTAGATTTGAATCTCTCTCTCTCTCTCTCTCTCCACCCAACCCCTCCCCCATATGAACCACACCACCACGATCCTCCACCTTATTCTTCTCCTCCTTCTCCTCCTCCTCCTACTTCAAACCTTAGATTTGAATCTCTCTCCCTCTTGCACAACAAAGGGTTGTGGGGGTGGGGGTTGCAAGCATTGTGGTCAAGGGGGTGGGTGGCTACATGGGTGGTAGCTCAGATTCATCAATGGGTAGGGGTGGTCATGGGGGTGAGGGAAGGGGGTCACAGGGGTAGGAGTAGGGGTGGACATCAGCCCGTTGGCCCGCCCAGCCCAGCCCTATTTTTCTAGGGCTTTGTTTTAGCTCATAGGGCCGTGTTGGGTCAACATTTTTAGCACAAAATATTAAGGGAGACTCAAGTATAAGTCCTATTAAGTAAACTTATTATCCAATAGGTCCTATGATAATTAAGAACATTTTTCATCATACACTATTAAAAAACGTCAATAATTGTTTATTTTCAGCGACACTATGAAAATTGTCACAACTAATGTCACAAATTATAAGTTTTAGCTACAGTTTAAAAAAATCATCACAAAAAAATGTCACTAATTTTTAACTTTCAACAACAATTTAAAAAATCCGTAACTGAAAACATCACTAATTATAAATTTTAGCAATAATTTATTAAAATCGTAAAAAAAAGTCACTAATTGTCAGGCGACTTATGTAAAAAAGCGTCACAAAATTATTTTTAGCGACGATTGTAATAAGACTTATTTTCAATAGGCCTTAATTTGAATTAAGTCCAACTATTAGGATCTATTAGTAGTATACCCAAATATTAATGGGTTGGGTTTGGGATTTATGCTTTCAACCCAACTCGGTCCAACCCGACCCGTTATTAAATTAATTAATTATTTATTTATTTATAATACATTAAAATATATTTTTTTTGTTGGGATCTACACTTTTCCTTTATTGATTTTATTGAAACTCACATTTGTGGTGATGTATGATTGAATTTATTTAAAAAATCTTTCAATTTATACACAAAATCTTTCAATTTATAATGATGTCAACATATTTATTGTGATTAAATTTAATTATGAAATGTTTTAATTTTTCTTTTGTATATAACCCAATGGGCGGAGTTGGGATTTATAATTATTTTTTGGACCAAGCTTGGGCAAATATAGAAGCCGGATGTTAGGGCTAGGACGGGCTTAGGCAAACACAAAATCCCTTATTATGTAAATTTGACGTTTGTCCACCCCTAGGTAGGAGATTGCAGAGGTAGGCGCTAAAAAGATGCTAAGTTGCGACAAGTGGGCTAGGGGTGGTGGTCGAAGGTGGAGGTGGTGGTGATTGTGGCTATTAGAGGTGGTGGTTGGGTAGGAGGGTTGCAAATGAATCGAGTTGTTCATGAACAAGTTGAGCTCAGCTTGTTTAAAGCCAGTTTGAGCTCGACTCGTTTACTAAATGATTGAGCTCAAACTCCATGTTTAGACTCATTTATAAATCAAGCCAAGCTCGAGTAGATCCGAGCTCGGCTTGATAAGACTCGTGAACATAAAGAATATAAATTAATATTTACTTTTAACAATATACCAAATAAATTTTTAATAATATATTTTATTTTTCTATTTGTGTTTGGTGTTAGTGTAAATTTAAATATTTGATTGATGACATTTATTATTAATATAAGCATTCTTGCATATTTTGCTTCTAATTTTCTATTTTTTATCTTAACAAGTAAATTAATTTAAGTTTTTTTTTTTTTTTTTTTCCAAAGCTTGGCTCGAGCCGAGCTCGAGTTTATCAAATATTTGATAAGCCAAGCTTGAGCTCGACTAATTCTTAAACTCAAGCTCGGCTCGGCCCATTTGCAGCCCTAGGCGGGAGTGGAGTGAGGGTTTGAAATGTTAAGGAGGTGTAAAGAGAAGATGAGTTGTTAGGGATGGGGATATGTTGGGAATTATGTAATAAGATAGAAAAGAAAATTAAATATTGAAAGGTGGTGTAATTAGAAATGGGGTGCAATGTGCTAACTGTGGTGTAAATAGAATCACACATTGCTATTTAACCCCCCAAAAAACTCTTGCTTTGTCCTTGACCATTCTAGATTTCCTTTTGAAGCTGAATATCTACAACAGCTTGGATCCTCCCTTGAAGTATTGAAAACTTAAAATAAACTTCTTGCTTGGATGCTTCTAACATAAGAATGAAATGAAATAAAATAGAATCTAGTAATTCTATACATCTTGAAAAAATTCGATTCATTAAAGTTTAAAGAGTTACTTATTAAGTCTTCTTTCTAGGGGGTATATTGGGAGGTTGTAGCTGTGAGAATACAATCATATATAGGCATGATTGTGTATATATATATTAGGCATGATTGGGTATATATATATTAGGCATGGTTCTATATTTCCTTTTTGGTTTAGGCGTTAGGGTTATATAAACTACGGTTTTGATGTAATTGATACAAGTTGAATATACAAAAAACTTACATGGTATCAGAGCAGGTTGAAAAACCCTAGCTCCGCCGATCTCTCTCCTCTCAGACCTGGTTGTTGATCGAAGCTCTTTGCTTCATCTATCGTTAGTCGTGAGTCTTCTCTTTGGCTCTATCTGGTCCGCGACCTCTCTCCTCATAGGGCCGTGTTGGGTCAACATGATCATCGTGGTTCGTCGGGTCTGTGGCCTCTGACTTGATCACAAGGGCTTTTCTCTCTCTCTCTCTGTCTCTCTCTCTCTCTCTCTCGGTGTCCGTCTCTCTTTCTCTCGGTGTTCATATATTTCTCTCTGTTCATTTATTTGTTTTCAGTCTCTCTCTTCTTATTACTCTCTAGCCTATTAATTCTCTCTTTAATCTATCCCTACTCTATTATAACGACGGACACCAAAATCTAAGCCATCAAATGTAAACTTAATGGTACCAATTATGCTTATTGGGGTAGTGTCATGAAGAATTTTTTTCTTGGTCTGAAAAAATAAGACTATGTTTCTAGTTATGTTCCTCGTCTATTAGACCCGAAACAAGAAGGATATTTGACTTCCTGTGACACTTGGGATTGTGATAATGCCTAAGTTCTGACCTAGTTTCATAATTCTGTGGATAACCATATTGGAATAATGTTTTCCAAACACAGTACTGTTAAGGAGGTGTGGGATTATTTATTAAGTGTGTACCAGCAATCTAACTTTGCCAAACGGTATGAGTTGAAAACAGCTATTCAGAGTGCTCGTCAACGGGATCAATCTATTCAGGACTTCTACATTGAGATGTCAGGTCTCTGGAATCAGTTGGCTCTCATGGAACCATCTAGCCTCAAGGCCTTAGACGCTTATGTTGAGTTTCGGGGGCAAGGTCGTTTAGTGCAGTTCTTAACGACTCTCCCTCAGTATGAGGCTATCCATGGTGGCATCCTTCATCGGTCTCCTCTCCCCTCTATGAATGCTACTGTTCATGAGCTCCTCTCCGAGGAAACCTGTCTTAAGACAACCAGTCAAACTCTGTCTCCATCTGTCTTCTTGGCTCCTACTCAGCCTACTCTGTTGTCGACCCAACAACCTCATCAGCTTCAGGGCAATGCGAAGCCCAAAAAGGGGCCACTAGCCTCTAATGAGTGTGTTTTTTGCCATCAGAAGGGCCATTGGAAGTACAACTGTCCCAAGAAGGGACATCAGTCTACTCAGTCTTCTTAGCCGCCTCAGACACAATTTCGACCTCCTGATGCTTATACTGCATCTACTCCGGCATCTGATCCTAACTTGGCTTCCTTGCATGCCCAGATGGCTTGGCTTCAGCATCTCATGTCCACCTCCCAGCCATCCTCATCTACCTCTGCTCTCACCTCTCTTCAGTCAGGTTTGTTTGAGTCCTCTTCAAGTATCTCCTCTTTTGTCTGGTTTTTTGACTCTAATACCTCTCATTATATGACTCCTCACCTGTCCTTACTTCAAAACTCTCTCCCCTATCCCTCTCCTCTTACTGTTAATACTGCTAATGGGTCTGGTATACCTATTCTATCTGTTGGGTCCGTCTTACCCTTTGCCATGTCTATTGTTACTATTCCCTCTGTTCTTTATGTTCCTTATCTATCTGTCAGTTTATTATCTATCAGTCAACTTGATACTTCTGGTTTTAATGTTATCTTTTTCTCTTTTGTCGGTTGTGTGCAAGATCGAGTGTCCAAGAACCACCTCTCCAGTTGTTTTTTCCTTATTTCATTTAAATTCTCAGTCGAGTCAATTTTACTTATGGCATTCTCGCCTAGGTCATTTGTCT